AAAAAGATGTCCATGATCAGTTCCTTTGAACTTGTATGAGCCAACTCAACACATCACTGTTTCTGACACTCTTCTGCCTTCCAAATATTATACAAATGTATCTCACTGATGGAACCTAATGCCAATTCATAAGCCTGCTGGCAAAGGAGACTGGGAAACGTATAGATCTCAGATTTTCAGCCCCTGTAATGCAGGGTGGAGCAAAGAAGGAGGTATCAAGTGCGACAAGAGCCAACACAGCTAACGTCCAGATCACATAACATACAGACTGATGCTAAGTGCCATGTTCCCTGTTCCTGCAAATAAAAACAAACTAAACAAATCCTTGGTGATTTCATCTGCATTATGGCTCAATCTCCAAATGATGTTCCGGCTTTATATGGGTTATTTGAAAACCACTGTTTAAGCAGGCACAACAATGCTAATTGAAGTTAACATTGGTTAAGCCATTATAATGTGCTAGGTATTGTTTCAGGCTTTGCATACATTATACCACTTAGTCTTCCCAAAAATTTCATGTGATAGGTTTACTGTTATCCTAATTTTACAGATGAAAAACCTGAAGGTTTTTCATTTGTAAGGTTAAGTAAATGCCCAGATCACATAGCTCCTGAGTGGCAGCATGTTTCAAACTCAATTTGTCTGACTGCAAAGCTGCAAACATACCATTTTTTATGATTAGTTTCTGCTTCTCAGCACCATGTTTGGTTTTAGAGACCTGATAGCATTGAGAATGTCATCGAATCAAGACACTGAATTGTTTTTAGGACTTCCTTAGATATTAGCAATTCTCTGCTAATAGAAATACTGTAATAAGCAACTGCCTAGAAGAACAAAGTGGTGTAATTTGCAGTTCACAATAATTTGACCTTGAAGTGCCTGCTTTTCCTCAGTTTCTTTCATTGCCCCAAAAGTTTGGACTCTTCCATTCTTCTGGTTTAGATGAAATGGTGCCAGTGAGCTTCAAGTATAAGAAAGAATAAATAAACAATCTGTATAATTTTCAAAAGGGGAAGAAATGTGTGGGAGAAATAGGATCTGATCTTCCTTTTAGCAAATATAAATTTGCTGCATTAAAGACTTTGTATGTTTCCAGGTCCAGTGACTGGTTTTAATGCATAACTCGTATTTTTATCCATTGCTTAGAATCACCTCTCCAATTTTTCAAGTGCTTTGTCTTGCTTAATCCAGTAAAACATCACTCTATGCTTTCATGTCACACTCACATACCTTGCATTCCTTTTTTTAGATTCTGTTTTAAAAGCAAGTAAGCATCTCTCTTTATTACAAACTATTAAATGATAATTTAGCCAGTGTGCTTTTTACCTGCACAATTTCAAGCTAATTGCATGGCTGCATATTTGTCCGAACCAAAGCAATTGTGCTTCTGTTTTCTACCATTAATCTCCATTTTAAAAATGAATAAATTGAAGGGCATATTTGTTGGGGGAGGGGCTGTCCTTCGATGAGCAATGGGCCTGATTTCAGGAGCAGGTGCTGTCTGTGTAGGACTCCATATCAGTTATGGCTATGCTTTTGCCAAGGCAGGCTGAATCCACGCCAACTCATTGCCTCAGATGCTTTCAGTGCTTGTCAAATACCAGAATGTAAGATGTTTCTCAGCTATGTGATATCTAGTCAAAGCCAATTGAGAGCATTGGATGCACCAAAACATAGCAAGACATTGACAACTCTGAGGTTTTTATTTCTTCCACCAACTTTAACCTGATGATCAACTGATTAATCTGCCTATTTATCAAGAGACTTTCAAAATTATAAAATTCAGAGATACTTTTCTCAAGCATTAGAACAAACAACATGTTCTCTTCTGAAGGTATTTTCTTTAAGATCTGTTGAGCTTCCCTGATATTTGACATACCTGCTAAAGCAATTTTGTCAGCTGAATATCTGGTTATGTCTAGTTGGTGTTAAACTACATTAGTTAAACCTGATTTGACAGTCATGTTACAAATCTTTGTGGAAGGCTGAACAAAACAAGCATGGCTCATTTGGCAGGAAAGCCACTAAAAATGACAAATCTGAAAGTTGACTATCACTAGTGCAGATGACATCAATATTAACTTTGGTTGCTATTAATAAACACACTAAAGAATGCAATAGGTTTAATGACTGTAAATGCTGTCTCCCATCTCAGCACAAACTGCTGTGTCTGGGAATAAATTAGTATTTATCATTTCCTGACTTCTGTTCTGGCCAGTGGCCAACAGAGGATGTATATCAAAATTAGAAGAGATGGGAGGTGGGACTTGCTTCCAAATTGATCTAAACGATGACCGCAAGCTTAAAAGCTGCCTCCCTGCTTTTAAGTTTCGCTGTCTGTTTTCAAAAGTAAAAGAAAACATTCAAGAAAATAAAACAGGAAACTAGTCTACAGCTTAGAGAGAATCTTGCTTGATTTGATTCCTTTACAGCATTGTATTATCATCAATATTAAAGCAGAGCTTACCCTGCCAAGCCCTGAAATGCATAAAATGGAAATGAAGAGCAAAACTGCCTTTGCCACTCATCTGTTTCTGTCTTAGGAAATGTCTCCAGTTTATCTGCTCGCTGTCTCATGAAGAGGTTTTATGTGACCACATTATATAGCACAGATGCCACGGAGGGACAGGCCTGGATGCCTGCTGGCTTGACCTATCTCTTAGCAAATCCCAGATGCATTTCATCTTAATGAAACACCCACATGGACCTTCAAGCTCAGAAGTCACTTGCTTCCTAATCATTTTATGTATTATTTGGAATTTTGAGGCAGCTTCCTGCAAAATGCCATCAAGTTTACTACTGACAGAGTCAGGAAAATGCATAGGTTAAGATCTTGATCATTATCCTAGAAGCAATGTATAACTAATTAAATTTTTATGAAGGCCAGGCACAGTGGCTCATTCCTGTCATCCCAGCACTTTGGGAGGCCAAGGCAGGTAAATAACTAGCGATCAGGAGTTTGAGACCAGCCTGGACAACATGCTGAAACCCCATCTCTACTAAAAATACAAAAATTAGCCAGGCATGGTGTCACGTGCCTGTAGTCCCAGCTACTTGGATGAGTCAGGAGAATCGCCTGAACCCAGGAGGTCAAGGTTGTAGTGAGCCAAAATCACACCATCGCACTCCAGCCTGGGCCACAAAGCGAGGACTCCATCTAAAAAACAAAAATTATGCAAAGGGTATATATTCCAATAGCTACCTTGAACAAGGAGATACACTCTAAGGAGTTTATGAATATACTACTATTAGAATTATAATATCATAATTACTATTAAATATTTATTACATAATTTCATTCTTTAAAACAATATGAAGTAGATGGCAGAAATTTGAGGTAGGTGATAACTTCTCTCGCATATATAACCACATACATGCACATGTATTTATATTAATACACACACATACTCTCTCAAATGTGTGGACACTATTGGTTTCCTAGGGCTGTAGTAACAAAATCCATAAACTGGGCAGCTTTAAACAACAGAAATGTATTCTTATTCTCTCCCAGTTACAGAGGCTAGAAGTCTGAAATCCGGTTGTTCACAGGGTCAAAATACCTCTGAAGGTTCTAAGAAATCATCTGCCTTTGACTCTTCCTACTTTCTGGTGGCTGATGGGCCACCCTCAGCATTCCCTGGCTGGCAGGCGCGTCACTACAATCTCTGCCTTCATCTTTATACTGTGCTCTTCCTTGTGTGTGTCTGTGTCCTGTGTGTCTTTTCCCCCTTTTATAAGTGTACCAGTAATTAGATTAGAGCCCATCCTAATCCAGTGTGACCTCATCTTAATAGATCTGCAAAGACTATTTCCAAATAAGGTGATATTCAAAAGTATCAGGATTTAGGACTTTACTATATCTCTTTGGGGGACACAAGTCGACCCACGACACACATGAAAGAAAAAAAAAGCAATGACAGCACCCATATAAAATTCAACCAAAAAGCAAGTTATTGTAAAAATAAATGACAAAATTGTCTATACTTTTATAGGTAGGTAATAAATTTAACAACATAAAAGGAAATCAGATCACGTACACAATTCAGAGCATCTATGAATTTTAAAACATATCAAGTGCTACAGAAAAGTTTCTGATATTAACACCAGAGACAATAAATCTCAGGCTTAAGAATATGAATAATAGTCAGGTGCAGTGGCTCATGCCTATAATCCCAGCACTTTTGAGAGGCCAAGGTGGGAGATCACCTGAGGTCAGGAGTTCAAAACTAGCCTGGCCAACGTGGCAAAACCCCGTCTCTACTAAAATTTAAAAAATTAGGCAGGTGTGGTGGAACACATCTATAATCCTAGCTACTCAGGGGGCTGAACCATAAGAATCACTTGAGCCTGGGAAGTGGAGGTTGCAGTGAGCCGAGATCATGCCACTGAACTCCAGCCTGAGTGACAGAGTGAGACTTCTTCTCAAAAAAAGAAAATATATGAAAAAAAAGAATATGCATAAGACGATTTCCTCATAGGCAAAAATTTGATTATACACAAAATAAAACATCATTTTCCTAGTTGCATATACATCCTTCATTTTAAAATACAGAATTATAAAACAATATTAAACAAGGAGAAAATATGTTTTATAAGTCACTGAAGTCCAAAGGTATTATTTAAATATTAGTGGCTGGTGATCATCAAGGAAGTCTAACTTTATTGGAAATTACTAGGTCCATTGAGAAGCACTTCAAATACACAGTACAATGATTCCCCAGTGAAGGAGGCACTTCCAAAATTTGGGGACATTTTTAGAAGACCACAGGGAAAGCCCTGTAACATTCAGAACGGCAGTGTCTGAACAGATACAATGCTATGAGAAGGGTCCAGGCTCTGTGAAAACACAGTTTCAGTTAAGATAACAGAGAAGATTTTTCCACAGATGCATAATTCCAGTGATACAGTCAAAATCAGTAGCAAAATAAGATTTGATTTCTAGGGATTCACTTTAGAGCTAAATGTGTTGGAACAATTTGGAAAGTAAATGATACTGCATTTTAAAAAGATATCATCATTATTTCAAATCTTCTTCTCATTTTTCCAAATGGTGGTGTTTTATTTCAGGTGCTTATCTTTTGAGTTCCTTTCTTAAATCTGGCAGCTAAGTTCGCTGTTTTCATGCGCACCATTTCCTCAGCCCACTTTAAAGCAAAATCAAACTGTTTTCTAAAATCTTACTTCTAAGGCTTGATTTTTTATAAAACTTTCTCACAGGATTTATAAAGTTATGGTAGGCAGAAAAAAAAAAATAGCCCCTCAAATATATATTCCCTTCCTAATCCCCAGAACCTGCGACTATCACTTTACATGAAAAAAGAGTGAGAATTATCTTACATAGCAGAAGACCTGATTAAGAATGATGAACGGGGAGCATTATCCTGTATTATCTGGGTTGGTCCTAAATGCAATCACATGGAACCTTATAAGAGAGAAGCAGAGGGAGATTAGACACAGACACTCAGAGAAGACAACTGAAGACAGAGCAGGGAGTGGTGCAGCCACAAACAAAGAAATGCCAACAGCCACCAGAGAGAGAAGTAGAGGATTCTCCCCATCCCTGCTCTGGAGGAAGAACACCTCAATTTTAGACTTTTGGCCTCTGGAACTGTAAGAGTAAAATTATTCTTTAAACCACTAGATTTATGGTCATTTGTCACAGCAGCCACAGAAAATTTATACAACTGGTTAAAGCACAGGAAACAAAGAGAATAAAAAGACATAAAAAAAACAGTGCCCCTCCAGAAAAAAATGAATATATCTCTTTATAGTGACACCTATCATTTACCAAGCACCTGCTGGATAGGTGCCAGAGAAGGATTCACATGCTTTATACGTATCATCCTAATGCTTACCAAAACCCAGCAGTGTAAATGTGATTATCCCCATTTTGCAGATGAGAACATTGAGGCCCAAGGCCATACACAGTAAGTATGCAGAATTCCCCAGATTCAACCTAGATGCATTTGACTCTAAACTTTCCACAGTTCCTGCAATACTCTGCTGCATCCCATACTTCTCTTTTTAGCCTCCCCTTTCTGTCCCTGTCAGCCCTCTCTCCATCCAATTGCAGAGCGTACTTGCAACTGTTTATTTTACTCTTAACCAGCTGCAAATGTTTCCTTCCACATGCCCAGGAGCCAAACAATTGGGTTCGTGGCGTTTGTAGGAAACACAAATCATAAAAATAAACCATTAGGCAATACGCCTCAAATACCATAGCCTGTAATCTTTTATTGAATATCTTGAATTCCTCTATCTGGGCCCTAAGCTATCTAGACAGGTTGCTTACTCCCCTACACCACACTAACCCCGATTTACCCCAGATTGGACACATTTCCAGCAACTCCCTGGTTTCCAGGGTTACAACAACCTTGTTTAGGTAAAAACTGAATTTGAGATTACCAACAGGATCTTATCCATCCTGCTAAGCTCACTCTTTCTCCCAGCTTCGTCTACTCCCCTGTATCCTTTCCACTGGTCCGTCCATCCCTGATCCACTGTAATTTGGGCCTCGTGTTTTCCTAGGTCAGGGAATCAGTAACAAAATCTCATTATCTCTGAGACTTATACATGTATATATACACACACACCATGGTTTTAGCAGGTATTTATTTCTTGAGGCACAAAAAGACAGACGTACAGGAATAAAAATGTTAATTTCTCTATAGTTAAAATAACCCAGGACACAAACCCTTTTGCTTTTAGTGATGAGAAAGGAATACTGCTCCTCCCCATCCTCACCCTGATGCTTTTCTCCTTTCTGCTAGGAGAGATCTAAATTCTCCGGGCTTATGTATCAGCCTGACTTGGGGGCAGGAGCTTCTGGTCTGAGAGTCCTCCTCTGGCCTGGCCTGTGTAGTTCAGCCTCCAGGTCCTAGGTTTTAGCCTACTTCTGCCGCATGCAGAAGACAGATGGTAATAGGGCTCTGTCTCCAGACTCGAGCATCCATCAGACTTTGCTCGAGAAACTCAGCTGTCTTGCTGCTCTGCTCCACATCAGCCCTTGCTAACTGCTGAGACCCTCTGAGACCCTCTAGCCTGGGTCTCAACCACTGAGGCCCCACCTCCCACTGACCCTGCTAACCCCTGGCAGACAGACAAATCTCACAGTTTTCAATTATAGTTTAAATCCCCTCAGGCACAATGCTTCAAGCTTCCTAGATGCATCCAGGGAGGAAGGGATTTGAGGGTGAGGCAGAGGAGGGGGTGACTCAGGCCCTTTTGTATGAAGTAGCACATCACTCTCTCCATCTACTAAGGCAGCCCCACATGGATATAAACTCTGGGAGGTGTCTCCTTCCAGAATTCCAGACAAAAAGCAGAACAGCATGCCAGTCCCTCATTTTCTCAGAACCCTTCACCCATCTGGGGGTCTTAAGGGGTCTCGTACTTCAGGCTTCAATTGCAGGGGGACTAGGAGGAGGACCCTCTCTAGCATCCACACTCAGGCTTTTCACTGAAAATCCTCCCAGAGCTTCTTCCTTAATTAAGCCTAGCAAGCATTCAAAAATCTTTTCTATGAGGGAAGGAAAGCTGCCCCAAAGGCATGGTGAATCCTCCAAATTCTCTGGTTCAGTATATAAACTCAACACATCCACCTACCTGGCTTTGCTCTTGGTTTGTCATGTGAAGTTTTAAAATTTCAGTGAAACATTTTTTCTTCCAAATGCCTCCTAAAAGTATTTTGGCTTTTAGAGTATTCTGTGTCTGTGGTGGTGGGCTTCAAAAAAGGAGCAAAACTTGAGGCCAAGTGGGAACTACTTTGTCCATGTGGTTTTATCTGAATTTCTTCAAAAGCAGTAAACGCATTGCTCCAGTGGATGGAGGAACTTGGCATATAATTAGAAATTACTGGCAATGAAAGATGCATCAGTTCATTTTTACAGGCACTATTTTGCAACATTATATAAACACTATAATCTAGTCTTAAAATATGGTATATAATTTTATATATTATTATTGTAATGGTGTTATTTAGCAATATATTTGGAAAATAGTACTTACATTTCTTTGTTTAGTTTTGAAATCAAAACAACACATTTATTTGCTCATTTTTATTTCAAAGTTGAACAAGTTGAAGTAGTTTACACATTTAAAGTCTGATGTGATATGAAATATCAGGACTAATAATAGTGCTCACAAGATGCATGTATATTTTCCAGATTATTTTTACACTTTGTCACATTTTATTGTTGAAACGTTATAATAACAATACTTGAAAACAAAATTTTAGAGTTACTCTTGGCTTCACCATCACAAGGGGCTAAGAGGATATGCTATAAATTATTAAACTAATTTCATCTTACTGGATATTAACTTAATTTTTAAAATTATACATAGTTTTTGATGATGATGCAATAAATAACTTTGCATGCACATATTTTCTTTATTATATTACTTACTTATAATCAAATGCCAAGATTTCAATTACTGAGTCAAAGGGCAGAGTTGGCACTAATCAATGTGTCTTCACAAAGCCCAAAGGTTACCTCAGTGCCTTTCCTTGCTAAACTCAGTGCCCTTTAATGCTACCCAGGAGTTTTTTATGAAGCTAAGATTACTGCAATAAAACAAGTTTTTATAAGTCTTTACTTTTTCACCGCAAAGTGACCTTTTTATGTTTACACAATATATCATAAAACAACCTCCGAAGTTCAATAGATCTAAACTCAGTAACCTGTAATGTTATCTGCAATCATTTTTTTTCTGTTTCAGGGTTCAGGTGAACTTACTGACACATAGTATGAGTCAAAGTGTAATATGAGACAAGTTTTGCATGTGGCTTCACATGTAGATAAGGCATTAGTATGAAAATAAGTAAACCTTAAAACAAGCAGCAAATTATAAAATGAGATTGCTTCTATAATTTATTATATTGAACTTGTAGCATTGTGGTTAATATTAGACCTGAATAACCAAGGAAAGCACTGATAAGGAGGGGCTGGGGGGGTGGTGGGAGAGAGAGAGAGAGAGAGAGGGAGAGTTCAAATAGAAAGACTTCTTAGAAATTTGAAGCCAGGTTCTTTATATCAAGGCTTTCCTAAAACTTTAAGAATATTTTTAAGCTTAATTTCATTATGCAAAACTATTTCATGCATATCTAAATCTGTTGATAAGAAGTAAAGACCAATGTTACAATGTCTTTAACACTGTTATTTCAGAAATATATTTGTTGGTTCATAGTAGTCTATGAAGAACAAAGCAGATCAAACTAGAAAGTTATTAAATTGCTACAATTACTACAGATACTATTCATTTCAGTAGTTGAGAGACATGTAGATATACTAAACATTATGAAAGAGGTATTTTATGCCCAGTGGAATGAATTCTAGGAAACTGAGCTCAAGAAAACCGAGTTAACATCTGAGTTCTACTACAAAGGATGAGACCTTTCCTCTCTCTGCACTTCAGCTTGGACATCTACAACATAAAGGAAAGGGCTGTGCAAGACCTTTCCAAGCCTTGTATTATCATCATTCCACACAAAGGGCAGCAGCAAGAGCACTACTCCAGCATGAAAGGATTCAATGACAGTAACCAATGTAAGATGTAATTATAACCCAAACCTCTTCAGTTAACAAAATGAGCAATATACACAGACATCCTTTTATCTCTCTCTTAAGTATGATCAGTGTCAGGTTTAGCTAAATATTCACAGCATACAAATCTGTATCTAATTTTTATACTTAGTGACCAGCAAATTATTGGATGGCAATACTACCCAACCCAAGCCTTACTTTATGGCCCTTTAGGATTTTTTTTTTTTCTTTTTTCTGAGTCTGCTTGCTAGGGAAAGGAATTTTTTTTTTTTTTTAACAAAACTCAGGAATGGAACTCTACAGAAAAAAATTAAAAGTTGATTGCAAAATCATATGATCACATCATTTGCTTTCCTCACCCTTTTTGTTTCATTTCTGGTTCTGCCTCCTTTGTGAAGCCTTTTCTGATGTTCCCAAGTCAGAAGTGAGATCTCTCCCCCTCCACCCCCACACCTCTCTTCTATAGTTCTACCTTCTTCAAGGACCTTATCATAACTTCAAAGCACATAGCTCGCTCTCTCTTTCTTTTGATAGCAGTGGGTAAATACTTGTCCTAATGTCTCCTGCTAGATCTTAAGTTCTGAGGATAAATTTTCCTCTTTTATTATTCACATATTGCTCATAATACATAGTATCTTAGCAGTATAATGTTACTTGTTGACTCGAATCAATGATTTCTTAATTAGCTCCATGTTATTCTACTTCCTATAATAGTATTTATATGATTGAGGCTGATATCAAGCCACCCTGATAGGTTTAAGTGGTGTGATTATACAGGAGCCTACAATAAAACCATATTTTTCATTTGATTCTCATTGAACAGCTGGACAACATAAGCTGTGGTTTGGAAGTCATGGGAACCATGAAAACACTTGTGCCGATTCACAAAGATGATATCATGATGGGCCTTTCAAAGAGTTTACATTCCTAGTACTCCTTACAGATTGCCCCCTTGAAGAAGCACAGGAATTCTAGGTTCTATATAGCTCTACCAGGTTGGAAAAGTGCATATGGCCTGATCTGCTGCTCTCACAAAAACGATTTTGTCTACCCTGAAGTTTAGGGTCTACCCTTTTTAGGCCTCACTGCTCTGTGATATCTGGATGAGCAGGGACTTTGGAGGCACTATTCCCATGAAGAATAGCCCCCAAAAGACCTCAAGGACTACAGAGAGATTAAAGACATAATAAGGGCCACTAGTTTCTAATCATAATGACTCTCATAGGAATGCATTATCCTTACGTAAGTCAGCACATATCAAAATAAAGCATTTTAAGTCATTAAAATTATACTTAGCCTCTAGCTATAGTGTTAGACAAGACTGGATTAAGATATTTTGTATAAATAACTCCAATAAAGTGATTGACTTAAAATGCCCAATTTTTGTTTTGCCGATAAAAGCATATAATTAGCCAATAAGAACAAAATAACATTTACTATCAAATAGAAAATGTCATGTTCAAAAATACTTGTAAAACTCTATGGCTTTACATAAATAATAACTCACCCTGCAGAACGTTGTATGTGTTTTTCACTTAAAGAGTTAATCTATGGTTTTATAAAATCTCTTTTAAGACACTTCAGTTATGTTTTAAGTTTCACTTTCAACGAATCAAATATAAACAAAACTCTGACAAACTTGCCTGCCACATTTTGCCCAAAAGTTAATCCAGTAAAAGTTTTTGGATTGTTCAAAAACAATTCAACCTACTGTGCAATATTTCCTGAATTGTGAGTGGAGAAACTGCTAGGAAGGTTAGCGCCATATAGTCCATGTACTAATGGAGTTAAAATACAGATAAAAGCAAAGTCCTTTACCATGTACTTGTTGCCAAGCAGCTTGATGGGTCTATTTTCTACTGTTCAACTAGATCACACTGGGAGGCCATGCTTCTTCTTTTGAATCTTAAAAGCAATATGTAGTTATCTATAAAGGTTAGATAATGTTGGTTAAATGAGCAAATGTAACATAGCTCAGAAAATAGAAAGAAAATCGAATTAAAACTAAGCCACAAAACACTTGTAAATATTGAGAAATGTCTCTGATACCTAACTTTATCTATAAATTCTCTTAACCTTCAAAATTCAGCTCAAGCTTACAACTTCTACACATCCCTCCTGATATCCTCTCTCCAAATTCCTATACCACTTAGACTCTTAAAACTATACAACTTAGAAAAATTAGACAGATGTGATATCATTTGTTCTTCCTCTTTTTTGTCCTGTCTCCACCTCCAACAGAGATGTAACTCTCTTGAAGGGAAGCAGTGGCTCTTTAGTATGTCCTCCAAAGTGACTAGTAGTGTATTTACCACAGAGTGAGTATTCAACTGAATTCAACAAATTACAAAGATGATACATAACTTAAGATTCCTAATAAGAGCTCTCATTTTGGTACAATGTACTCCCAATTATCTCAGTTATTGATATTTTTCAATATTGAAAAAACATATGCTCAAGGGATACCTATATATTTGCCATAAATACTAGTATTCATGTGACTTTAATGACTACCTAAGGTCTATGTCACCTAAGATGCATCATGACATAAATGTAAGGGGTGGGAGAGAGATATAATTATAAGCTTCAGGTGTTTTGTATGCCTTTTCTTGCATGCAGCTGCTATTATCTCTACTTATCATTGACGTGTCATTTTACATTCTGGCAGCAATGATTATTTCTAATTATATATGGAAAAATAAATTGTAATATGTGTTTAATACAAACAGTCTGTCATTTGAGTAGTCATGTCAAATGGTTAATCATTTTTAAAACTAACAGGAACCAATTAAGGGGCAAAAATATGCTCTGAAAAGACAGCCTTCTTTTTCCATAATCTCGATTTAAAATTTAATCTAAAGGTCAGAAAAGTGGTTTCAAGACATATATTAGTATTTTTACCAAATAATAGTTTCTCTTGGAACATAAAGAATTCTTTTGAATCAGATGACACATGACCCTACACTTGCTTAAATATCTCTGCAGGTAAGCGTCTCCTCCTTGTGAGGCTCATCTCTCATATTCAACCCCTTACTTCTGCCCCATGGTAGGACAAGGCAAAAGAATCCATCATTTCAGCTGCAGCTCAGCCATTTTCCAGCTGACAAGAGGGAGATTCAGCTCAAAGCGAAAGCTTAGTATTTTGTCCCAAATCTCTCCTGTAAGTGTGATTATTCTGGTTTTTCCCAGGCGTAACTCTGCCTTGCAAATAAAAACTATTCCATTAAACAGGTCCAATGTAATTAAATAGATTAAAAAACAAACAAACCTGTATTCTGCAATCAACCCGATAAAAAGAACTATTTACCCTGGCTGATTTGGACACGGGCTATTTACAAAACAGGCTTAGATAGTATTGTTTCTTAGCTAAATGCCATCACTTAATAAATTTAGAAAAAAATCAAAGGGAACACAAAAGTAGCAATCATATCTATGAGCTCTCAAAATATTTCCAGACTTGTATGAATCCACTTGTGGTCACATAGCAGCTATTTATTTACAAATGCGTATTTCTTTTGTAAGAAAATATTAGGGTTTCCATCAATTATTGCAACATTTCTTTTATGAAATAAGATTTCCAGCTGGTAAAATTCCGGGAAGAACTGCCATTCTTAAGAATCTCTCAGTGACTCTTGTGTCAATTGCGGAGGCCATTCATACCTCTCCAATACTTTAAACATTGTGAAAGTCAAGTATTTAACATTATGAGACTCTGTATTGGAAAATAATTTGAATCCATAGCCACTCCATTGAACTGGAAGCTACTATATATATTAACCTATACCTGCCATGGATTGGTGCCTCTCTACACCCATCTTGGAGAGCACCAGAGAAATGTTTAAGGGTGAGTACATTTTCTAAGACTTCAGGAGAGTGAAGGTGCAGACAGAGGCTAATCAGGGAAGAACAAATGAAGTAAACCCAGGTGTAGGATAGGTGAAAGCACCTGGGATGGGGTGAGAATGACCGCAAGTTGTGCTAAAATGAGGGAAATGATAACAGCTGTTTCCAGAATCTGATCACAAGGCGGCATTTCTCCAAGGCGTAGATGACATTTTACATCCCAAGAACAACTGAGAAGAAAGTAGAGGAGGATGTTCTAGTGATGTGAATTCAAGATCCTGAGGCTTTAGGGTCCTGATAGTCCCCATGACCACTGACCCATTATTATAAGCCAAAAGTGGAGGAACTGGGACTACATTCTTCATCTTCTGTAAGTTGACACAGCTATTCATCTTCAGTGAGAAGGAGGTCATAAGAAAACCTGATTTTATGAGCAAGAGGAGTCTAGAAATAAACACCCCCAATTTGCCATTAGCCATTACGAATAAGGCAGCAAAATTAATTTATTTTAATGTTATACCCAAGAGGCACATGTTTTCCTTTCTACATGATTACAAAAATGCTGGATGTCCCCTGAGGACAGAAGTCCTTTTTTAGACTTCAAGAACAGACAACCCAATTTTCTCTGAGTTTGTTTTTTCCCCTTTGAGAATGCACTTAATTTGTTAATGCAGGAGTGCATTTGTCACCAATAAAATTCATCTTCACTCTATAAACAGATGCCTGAAATTAGTTCTGATAGAGGGAAAGCTAGAGGGAGTGTACTTGGTTGCATGTTATGAAAACATAATTCAATGATTTAATTCGTAATAAGCTTTTTTGTGTCCATCAATTGCATGAACAACTCTAAAAAGATCCTGAAAGACCATGATTTTATTCATTTCTACCAAGCATTGGCTTTTATAATTATCGATCAAAAAAGCAAATTCTGTTTTTTAATAGAGGCTTCACTGCTGTTAAGTAAGGCCAAAAGCTGTCAGAGTATATTGCTTTCGACATTGTTATTTATCAAAAAGAGTAAAATTGTGACTATTTGCAAGACACTATTTTAAGTGTTTTAAAAGAAAAAAAAATGGATGGGACATGACTGCTGCCCTCAAGTTATGCACAACCTAATAGGGACACCCACATTGACATAAATTACTGCCTACAAGGCAGTGTAGGGACATGTCATGAGTGAGTTTGGTTAGAATGCTTTTGGCTGCAAATAACAGAAACCCAAATTAAACTAACTTAATGATAAAGAAATTTAGTAAAATGCAAAAGAGGAATTATAGACTTGGGGCAGCTGCAGGAACGCAAACATGTCCTCAGGGACCCATTCCTCCCATTTCTCCAAGTATGGCTGGTTACCTTGTCCTGAAATGGCTACCAGCAGCAATCAGAGCAACATGCTTCTCTGTTCACATCCAGCAGGAGAGAAAGGCTGAGTTCTTTTTCCCAAATCTCTTTCCTTGTATGGCACAGGCCCACACTGAGCTCATGTCTGACAAGGTGGATGAGATTACCTTGATTGATTTAGATGGATCCAAAGGGTGGGATGGAGGTTGGAGAGCCAGACACAACGTCCACCAAAGTGTGGGAAACAAAACCCTGAAGCAGATCCTGTAATTGCCCAAACTGGGTATCTTCTTTGGGGGTTGGTGGGTAATCCTGAGGTTCAGAACTTCCAGCAATGGTAGGCAATAGGCAACACCTAGTATGGGAAAAATGTTTTTAAAGCCTCTGAGGGATGATTCATTGTGCCTTCCTGACATTTCTAAATTTGGATAAGAGGAATACCTCAGTATTCTCTCTTTCTCCTAAAGTCAGATAATCATTCTAAAGTGGTTGCCAAGCATTTTTCCAACTGATATTTCTAGCTCCTTCCAAAACAGTCTGTCACTAAACTCACCCACTCTACATAGGAGGAGGAGGAGGAGGAGAAGTTGCAGTGATATTACTTTATATAGAGACGTGAATTCTTCAGTTTTGTCAGCTTTTGAAGGGTAATAAAGTGCTTTCAATTATTCTTATGCCTCTTGTTTGTGGGCACCCTTCCCCATTCTGAGTCCACACCTGGTTCTTTGCACTTAATTGCAAGACTACTTTTTTCATTTTAATGTTTACAATATGTCATGTCCTGTTACAAGCTCATTACAGTTGTTATAAGCTCACTGCATGAAAATGTTCATTTAATTTTTATAACAGTTCCCAAAATAAGAATTATTACTATCCCCACTTTGCAGGTTAGAAGAACTGCACCACAGAGACACTGAATAACTAACCCAAGATCACACAGCAGTCAGTGGCAAAGCTGGGATCTGAACCTGACTAATAAAGTTTACAAGTCTGAATTCTTATCCAAAATACCACAGTTGCATCTGCAGCCAGTGGATGAGGAGTACAGCCAGACACAAGAAATCTAAAAAAGGTCATGTGAGGGAGTTTGAACATTGTCCTAAGAAGAGTGGGCATAACCTAAAGGGCAATCAGAAAACTTAAATAATCAATATTAAAATGAGTCAACAAAGAAGAAGAGGATCCTGTTTCTGAAAAAGTTGAAAGAGAAAAGGAATTAATATTTACTAAACACCTACTGTACACATTACAGGTACTTGATGCCTTGGGCATGTGATGTCATTTAGTAAGAACTTTCCAGGGCTTAGCTCTCCCTGTTATACAGCTCAGAGAAGCCAAGGTATCCCACTTATGGTCTCAAGGAAGACCTGGTATTTGAACCTATACCTGATTCCAAAACCCATATATATATATTTTTTTCTATTGTCTACTATAAAGATTCCAGAGCTACTCCAAGTCAAAGACCAAAAAGGAGAAACAATGGCTACCTACAAATCTTCATTTATCCTATGAAGTAATATTTCCTTTAATACTAATAATTGTGTATGACAGAACTAAATATCACTCTAACAAATTCCTATTCTCTCAGATATTTTAATTAAAGACACCAGGGAATAATAACCTGAATATATGAGCAAAGCTATTAAGAAGGAATACACACACACACACACACACACACACACACCCCATCTGATATCCAGCCAGGATAGACAGGAGAGAATATAAAGTTTCCTGGGGCTTAATTGAGTTGCTCAGTGCATCACTTTTTTTCCGTATTTGCAAAGTCCACCAATTCTAAAGGAAATTATGTCCAGTTCCGCTTCTGACAGAGTGATCTTGCAGACTGAAGCCTCCAGCAGGAAAGGAAGCTTCAGGAGAAGAATGCTCATTATTTGATAGGGCTAAGACTTTGTGCGTTATGTTCACATGAATATCTTATGGCTGTGCAGCCTTATGAACAGATGCATCATACACTGAATCCTAGTCCACCCTCCTTGGAGAAAATGGAATATTTGCTCATTTCACATTTCACCAAGACAGACTCTTCAACTATTTATAAGTTGAATAGAAATTTCCACTACTTCAACTGACACAACCAGTTCTACCTAGTAGCTGATAAAAGAGATCCAACCAGAGCTTTTAGGAAGTTGGCTTTGGCAAAAGCCAGGAGTGGCAGGGAAAGAGACAAGGTCTGCACCAAGTGGCCTTCTCCTCCAATAGGTGCTGCTCTCTTTCTCCTCATTCAGTCTTCTCCACCACCATATTTGAGACATTACATTTACAGCTTATCTAGAATAAGTTTTTCTAATAACTTGGCAAACATACCTGTAGATAGATGCCTGTCTCTCATCAATACTTATTAAGGACTCACTGAAATTGACATTGATCAATATCACAGTGTCCTTATTCTGAAATAAAGGCTGTCACCTCTAATTCAGTCCTATTCAATTCAAAACAGATGTATTGAGGACCTTCCATGTACTGGTTCTGGCAATTTAAAGATTAATAAAGTTAAGTCCTTACCCTCCAAATTTTAAAACTTGGAGGGGAGTAGACACATAAAGAGAAAATATTGACTAGGATAATTTCTCTGCCACAGGAAAGCTCAGGGGCTACTTGCAAGCAGAGGTGGACACTTAACCCAGATTGAAGGATTATTTTACTGACAACACATGCAGATTCAATGCTGCATACATTTCTCATTTTACTTAATCCTCAAAACAATTCTCCCCATAAGGCTATTCCTATTATTAGCCTAATTTTTTAGGTAAGGAGACCTGGTTCAGAGATATTAAGTGATTTGCTCAATCTGACATAGTAAGTGGCAGATATAAAAGTGAAACAGCCCAGTCTAACAACAAAACCAGTCACTTGCCTATGGTAGTATATTGCCTTTCACTGGCAATTTACAAAGTTTAATGTTCATTACTATATTTATTTATTCCAAAAATACTTGCTAATTGTCTACTATGTTCATGACATACAAGACAGGAGATACAACTGTACTGGGGTGGTCCTAAACTTCTGGTGCTTGCCTTTGAAGATCATCAAAAACAAAGAGTTTGAAGGAGATACATCAGTCAGTTATTCCAGAAATATTTATAGTGCAGTGTTATGGACCAGAACATGCTTGGTTCTAAGAATATGAATTGGTCTAAAACAAAAAGTCTGTGTCCTCATGGAATTTATAGTCTAGAAAAATGTGCAAATAAATACACATTGCATTGAAGGTGGTAAGAGCTTTAAAGAAACAAAGTAAAGGATTAGAAAGCATGGATGAGGGATTGAGGGTAGCACTTGGCATTTTGAATTGAAAGCTCCTCTGAGAATCTGAGGAAAAACCTGAATAAGGAGAAGAAATGAGTTACGTGATAATCTATGTGAAGAGTGTGCATAGACAGGCAGAAGCAACAGCAAATGCAACAGCTCCAAGATAGGAACTCGTTTAGAGTTTACCAAGAATGGTAAGAGGCCAGATTACAGTGAGAGGTTGAAAGCAATACAAGACAGGCGGAAAATCAAAGGATAGATCACCCAGGACCTTGTTGGCTATGTAGGGGGTTCCATTTTCTTGTCAAGGCAAAGGGAAACCACTGAAGAACTTTGAATAGGAGGAATGACATGTTCTGATTAACTTTTTAACTTCACTCTGGTTGCCATATGGAGAACCGATTATGGGGGCACATGAGAAGAAACAGGAAGACCAATTAGAAGTCTATTATACAAGCCTAAATTTAAGATGATGGTGGGTTAAACTAAAGAGGAAATGCAGAGGTTGTCAGATTGGGGATATATTTTTCATACTAGTGCTGACAGACTAGATTAGATGTGGGCTGTGAGGAGAAGACAGAAGAGCAAATGCACTTGAATTCCTGGAACAGTACCTAACACAGAGCTCATACTCAACATGTGGAAATTCCATCCCTTTCTCTTGAAATTCAACATGGTTTACTTGGGGAAAATAAGTCACACACAAAACTATACACAGGCTCTATAAGAGTGGCCCTAACTAAGTCAAACTTCAGGGATACAATCCAGCCATGAGAAAGTAGATGAGAATCTACCTCAGTTGTTTTAATCAAACTAGTAAGTATCCTCACTTCCTTTCAAATAAATGAAGTGGAAGAATTCCTAAAAGAATTCTGGTTATAGCAAGTGTGAGGAACTCCTATTCTTGGTGAGAGTGCCTGTTGCTATTACAGGTAGAACATAGTTTTATCTATGGTAAAACTCAGATTGCTTTCTAAGATAAGTCTTCACAGAATTCCCTGAGACTAGGCTACATCTTATTAGAGCCTTTCAACACTCCTGTACCTTTCCATTATGGCTCTTTTCAGTTTAAAATTTGATATGCATTTATGTAATATTTGATTAATATCTGCTCCTCCCTCACCTACCATCTCATTCTTCTTAACTTTGAAACAGTTTGCCTAGGAAAAAAAAGCATATGGCATTCAAAACTTTCTGTTGGAAAAATGAAACATATGTTTAAAATACATTTTATTCACAAAGAGAGCAAAAGACCTATGAAGAAAAAATGGAACGACATTTTATAAAGCATAGGCACTTAATTCCATTTTTAAAATTCTATTTATAATCACTAGCTATCTTTATAGCAATACACAGCATTCACTTCAAAAGAACCAAAACTGGCATGGGGAAATTACTTCTAAAGAACCATCTTGAACTTTAGGCCATGATAAGAGTTTGTTTTCTGTGTTTTCTGACCAGGCGCAGTGGCTTACACCTGTAATCCCAGCACTTCAGGAGGCCAAGGCAGGTGGATCACCTGAGGTCAGGAATTTGAGAACAACTTGGCCAACATGGTAAAACTCCATCTCTACTAAAAATATAAAATATTAGCCAGGCATGGTGGCATACCTGTAATTCCAGCTTGGGGAGGCTGAAGTAAGAGAATTGCTTGAACCCAGGAAACAGAGGTTCTGCACTACAGCTGGGCAGCAGAGCAAGACTCTGTCTCAAAAAAAAAAAAAAAAAAAAAGATGTGAGATGCATTTAGGATTGATATCAATTCAGAACAATTGGCCTATATAGCCAGATGACCTGTCTCTTACCTGGATTATGGTAGTCACTTTCACCAGAGCGGCCAGGGTGATACTTTTGGACTAGAAGCCACTTTGCTGCATCCCTCTCCATCTCATTCAGAATAAATTCCAATATCCTTACAATGGTCTTCAACGCTTTTATAATTTAGGGCCCTTGAAAAAAGAAATAGGTGACATAACTAAACTGGTAATCAAGGAAAGTTTAAGCCTTATTCCATTCATGCTACTGTAACAAATTAACATAGACAGGATAGCTTGTAAACAACATAAACTCATTTCTTCAGTTTTGGAGATTGTGGGGGCTGGAAAGTCTAAGATCAATGAGCCAGCAGATTCAGTGTCTGGTGAGGGCTCACTCTCCTCTGCTTCACAGATATTGTCCTCTTGTGGCATCTTCACATGGCGAAGGGAAAAACGAGCTTTCTGGGATGTCTTCTATAAGGACAAACTAATTCCATTTACAACAGTTTCACCCTCATGAACTAATAGGCTCCCAAAGCCTCCACCTCTTCATATTTTTGTGTTGAGGACTATGTTTCAACCTATGCACTTTAGGGGGACACAAACATTCAAACCATAACAGAGAACATTTACAAAGGTGAGGGTGAGCATTTTAAAAATCATGTATCCATGGTGTGCTACTCTGACGCTAACAACAGTGTGAAGCTTTTATGGATGGCAAAGAGAAATAAATGGATCTGGGGAAGCAAATGAGAAACATTCAGCATAAAGCCCTAAGTGATCTGCCCTGGTCTCTTCTGTGTTCCTTCCATGGCCGTCACCCTAGTGCCTTGATATATCTTGACACACTCCGGGCACTGTACCACTTGGGAATGTTTACATTTGCTGTTCCCTCTGCTTAGAACTCTTTTTCTCTAAATACCCATACGGCACACTAACTTACTTACTTCAAGCTCAAATATCACCTTCCCAATACAAACTATTTGAAAATCCTATTTAAAATCATAAAACATCTCCTTTAACATCACAATCCCCTTAACCCTTTTCTACCTTTTTCACATTTCATTTATCGCACACTATATTATATAGATATATAATTTTATATTTTTGTTACATCTATTGCCAAGTGTCAGCATCCCCTTCTCCCTCAAAAAACATAAGATCCAAGGAAGTGACCTTTTTTTTAATTGATGTAGTCCAAGTACCTAAAATTAGTGCTGAATGCATAAATAGAGGAAAATAATCACCTTATATGCTGTATTCAAATGTTCTCATGTAGAATTTTGTTTATAAATACAGGTAGAAATAGATATATTAAACCCAAACAGTCCTGCTCCCTATCCCATTTTCAAAAGGTTAAGTCTGACCAAACATTGAATGAATTTCTATTCCACCATAAGTAGTTTCTCATAAAACCATACCTGAGTGGGAGCTCATTCTTTTACATTCATCAAACTATGTCCATAAATGACAGTGAGCCAAAGACTATGTTCCCCTGAATCTGAGTTCTTTCATCACAGATGTAATGAAATCTGAAACTTCTGCTATACTCTGCGAAACCTCTAAGAATCCTCAGGAAGGAATATGGCAAAGTCACTATCAGCAGGGGCTTAATTGTGCTGCAGGAGAAATAAAATCACATACAGTGTGTAGCTGTATATCTTGGAAATGTCTCAAAGAAAGTCATGGACTTGTACAGTTGGAAGAGCTTAAAGAACTCTCACTTTATAGGCAAGAAGACTAAAGTCTCAAGAAGTCCAGGGGCTTGGTCATAGTCACACTACACAGCAAACAAGAGGCCTGCACGAAATGTGGAAACCCACCTGGGTCCAGCCTGGACCAGGACTCTCCGGCCTTATGGGGAAGTAAAACTTTAAAAATTGAGAGACCAAAGACCTTTGAAATGATTCTATTTATGCATGTTTTCAATCTATATTTAACTAGAATGGAAAGGCTTGGAACCAAAAAAAAATGTTTATCCACATAAATATATGAGAAAGTTATATTACACCAAACATATATGATTAAAAATGATTGCTCTAAAAATTCCTTTATATGGACAAATATGTGTATAATAGATTTGTGAGGGTAATAAAACTGAGTACTGCAGAACTATAGTGAGGAAAAGTACTTTCCAATCAGGCTTCCCACGAATTTAAACAAGGATAGAAGTAGATAATGATCTCATCTTCCCCATCAGATCTTCCCCCACAAAGCGGGGAACTCTGGAGCTTATGCAGATGTACAAATCCTCTAGAGTTCTTAAAATGAAGGCATATTTTTATAGTGTCATCAGTAGCCATAAAAGCTTTGCCAACAGTATTTATGTGCATCATGATAACATGTTTAAATGTTAGTTCAGCCTCCAATAGGAAAGTACAAGTAGGTAGTGTTTAAAAGCAGAGAATTGGTCTTTTTAAAATATCTAATTTCTTTGCAAGCCAAAGGAAGAGCCTCTCTTTTGAGATAATGTCACAATATTACATTTGAAGTCACCCAAAATGATAAAGGGAAGACCAACCTAAGGAGCCATGGACCTCGTAATAGGAAGGAACTTCCTTTAAATTCTCCACTAAAGGAATATTTTTAAAGTCTATTAGGTATATCCTCGAAACAAGAAAGTCTCTTCAGATGTCTAGTTTTTGTACCCTCCAGGCTATTGTGCCATTCAGCTCCTTTTATCAAATTCACAGGGGTCATGGCTTCTGAAGGGTAATATGGTTAGATAAAGAGCCACTTCTGTAGATCTTTGCCTTCATATGTTTCCACCTCAGGCAGTTCTTTCACAAGCTCACTCCTTGTATAAAAATCTATGGAATCAACCCAGAAAATACAAGGTTGCTTGAAATTGGACATTTTCTTCCTTTCCTCTAATATAAACCGAACTACTTTATATGTGTGTGAACCTCAAGAGCTATGACTGTACTCATCAGTTAGACAATTTAATCTTAGTAAGTTTCTAGGTAGGCAAGGAAGTCATGAGAAGAATAGATGTCTTTGGCATGAGTACACAGAATTCAGCAAGTCCAAATTTCACTTGATTTGGTGTGAATAGGAGGTGAAAGTATAAGATCAAATATTTGTCCAGAGAAATGAGAATATTTTCCCTACATTTAGAGAATTAAATCATAGACTCATTCTAGCATGGTAGAAGAATGCATAGACCTTAATATTTGATTGTGCACTGACCCTTACAAAATAAATGTGGATTTTTTGGAGATACTTTTCAGACTTTTCTGTTGCTTTGATTTGTGTTATGATGCCTAAGTTTTGACAGTATGTGCCATAAAAGAGCCTTCAATTCAGCTTTAAGCTGTTATGAAAAACTTTGAGCCATTCTTCCAAAAAAGGTTTTATTAGATGCATGCAATATTTTGGTAAACATTTATAGAAAGAATCACCACGGAAAGTAGGGAGCAGCACGACTGAACCAAAGGAAAGCAAAATGTTGTTAATTCATGGAAATAGTAAACACAGTCCACTAGTGAAACTATGATCATAAAAATATATGTTCCATGCAGGCAAAGACAATGTCTGCAGTATTCATCATTGTGTTTCTAATACCTAGCACAATGTTTGTCGCATTATAGTGGCTCAATAAATAATGCTTAAAAAGGAAGTGAATAATACAATGGATGAACGAACAGTCTTTCCAATCCAAATGTAATATCCCCAGAAAATAGAAGACCAATTCATCAGAAAGCATTTCTAGCTAGATGAGACTCTCTTTAGGAGCAACCCTTTCCCTTTGCTCTTAATATGCTTTCACCAAACAGCCACATAGGCCATAATTAGTTTTCCTGAATTGTTACACTCACAGGATAATAATTGGTAACTGATTACAAATTGAGAAGTTGGCTTTCTGAAAGATTAGTCATATAATCTGTGTGGGCTGAAGGAACTAGGTTTCCTAGGGTTTCTTCAGAAAGATGTCACCATATGGGTTATAATACTCAAGGATACTTCCCATTTTCAGACAGCAACAAACAAGGACTGTGGTAAACAGCCAGCCCACTGTACAACATCATATAAAAAGTATATTTTTTACCTTGTAGATACTACTTTCAGCATGAAAAGTATGTCGTCCATGAGTTCCATGCCCCGATACATTTAGGTAACTTTGGGTACTTCTTATTTCTTTAAACTTTCACAGTAGAAGAACTCAATGAATGTATATTTATCATCAGTAAGACATGATGAAACATGACTTTTATTTCATCACTACAATTTCTCCTGGTAGTCAACACTGTCCAAAGGAAGAAAAAAGGAAGGTAAATTTTACTCACAAATTATTGTTAAAATCTACTCTATTTGCACACATGCATGCATACAAGTATTTGTTCTTTCAACCAGTTTATATGATGGGCACTTAGTTTCTGTGCTGTTCTTAAGCATATTGATGTGAAGAAGATATTAGTTAATGACAGTTTACTTAATAAATTCTAGCTAACTGTATTAGTTTACTAGGGCTGCCACAATAAAAATGCCACAGGCCTGGTGGCTTAAACAACAGAAATGTATTTTCCCACAGTGCTGGAGACTAGAAGACTAAGATCAAGGTGCTAACAGGGTTGGTTTTCTTTGTTCTTGGCTTGCAGACAGATGCCTTCTTGCTGCCTCTTCATATGGCCCTTTGGTATACATGCATCTCTTCTGAGTATCCAAATTTTGTTTTCTTATAAGGACACCAGTCTGATTGAATTAGGGCTGACCCTAGTGATCTCATTTTAATTTACTTACCTCTTTAAAGGCTGTATCTCTAAATACAGTCACATTCTGAGGTACTGGGTTTTAGGACTCTACTATAGGAATTTGTAGGGGGCATATTTCAGCCCACAACACTAAATTAATGCTACAGTAACTCAAGACAATGTAAAGTACTTATTGGAGATGTAGGCTTGAAGAAGTGACAGGGGTACAAAGTACGATCATATCTGTATGAGTTAGATAGAAGAGAGATTAGAAAATCATTAAGGTAGATGAATGATTGGTGTTGGAGGAAAGTGACCAATAAAGGCAAAACTATCTCTGCTTTAAAAATATCATGGTGATCCCTGAAGGAACACTAGATCACCAAATGTGGGTAGGTTTCCACCCTGGTCTTGTAAAAGCTAGAATATTTTCCAAGTAGAGGTGGACTTACCACAAAGAAAATGAAGTTCAACTTCCACACCCCTCAAGCCTCATTCCAAGCAGTTGATCTGATCTTAGAGTTTTGTGTTATTTTACTTTAAGAGGGCTTTGGTGCCAGAAAACCTGAGTCTGTTCCTGATGGCAAGTATTTTCAGAAGGAAATGTTTGGGACATTTGGGCTGAATGCTTAAAACTGGGTATTTACTTGGAGCAAATAATAGCTCACATATTCTATAAAACATAATGCCTGAGTAACAGCTCTTTATTGAAAGAACAGTTACTACAATCTGTCCTGTGAATGTATATCTTCAACAAATTTTCAAACCACAGGTGCTCAGAAATGTCTAGGTAATTCACAGTTACCTCTGTGTGTGCAATGTGCTCTCTCTCACACATACAAACACACATACTTACATTTATTTTTATTTCTGCATTCAGATCTGGGCTGCTAATATGTATAATTATAAAAGTGAATTGTGTATGTTTAATAACTGTAATAGAAAAAATACTGCTTAGCATGTTTCTAGTTTATTTTCTTGTGAAATCATCTTTCTCTCACTTCTCCTACAAGTTGGGATTAATTATTGTGAGTTTCCTAGGCGTGCATATATCTAAGCCAAGACAGTGTAACATTTTTTTTATTTTGACATTAGCCACAGAACGATTCTTCTACTTTACCTGAAACAAAGAGACAAACAAAACTCACGTAAACATCTTAAATGATGCAAAATGCTATTGCAGAGTGAAATTTTCCAAAGGCATACTCATGGTAAGTTTCATGCTTTTTCCCTTTAGATTTTCTGCATTTTATTTTTAAGTTTTACACATAGCTCTTCTGGAGAAGAGTCTTGCAATTGAAGGCATAAAGGTGACTTGTTGGAAAGCAAAAGAAGGAAGTAAGATGAGATTGGTGAAGCAAGACAGTTCAATTTGCCTAACAAAGCAAAATTCCCAAATTGAGTTACTCTTAAAGCACTGTAATCAGCCATGTTTCTTAAAATGCCTGGGTTATATCAAGCCCCACTCACACTATGGTAATTATCAGCTGCCACCACACAGAAGTGCTGCATTCCCCGCAACTTTTTTTTTTCCCTTTTTCAAAATGTCAGCTTGTAACCTGAAGGAAAATTACAAACCCTACTTTTTAAGGAATGTTTAAAATAAACTTACAAAAGGACCAAGCCTTTTATAATTACTGTCCTGCTTAAAGGGAGAAATATCCCAGGTGGTATTTTATCTCTGCAGCATCTATTTCTAAAGGTTAGCCTCAGTGGAAGGAGCAGGAGTGCTTTATATAGCAGACCAATGATAGTTTTTAGAAGAAGCTAAAACTTCTTTGAAAAGCTTTGTGACTTTATTCTAGATAAACATAAACTACCCTAAGGATTATCACCACTAGTGATACTTTAATAAAATATTATTGTATAGAAAAATTACTTGATCATCTTTTGCATGATGCTGATATAATGCATAGAGGTTTACTCTCTCTTATTTAATAGGAACATAAAGCCTGTATCAAGTGGAGTGTTTTATGTTAATGGTAACATTTCCAATTAAATTGCCCATATAAATCATTTTGACATGCCATCATTCTTTATTTTAACAACTGCTTTTACACCATATAACTTAGAGCCCTAGTATCTTTCAGCTTGTAGAAGAAAAATGAAATATTAGTCAAAAACACAATGGGTAGAACTCTACTGAGAAAACTTTTCAGCATAACAAAATCCACATGAATTCAAGGTACCCAAGGTTTACAAAAAGATTCTGCCCAAAATTCTAAGAAGCCTTTTAAATGATGAAAGCAAATCACTGAGAAATCCATAGACTCTTTTCTTCATACTTTTTAATGTAGGCCTAGGATAGACTGAGGACTTTGACACAAAAGGTTCAGTTGTGATTGTGGTTCAGCAGCAAATAATCTAGGTGATGTTGAGCAAATTTCTAGCCTCAGTTTCCAGAAATAAAGTTCCTTAAGTTCTCTTCCAACTCCAACTTTCTACAACAAGTCCCATAAAAGGTGAAGAAAAAGTAGGTCCAACTTCAACTTTCTGCAAAAAGTCCCATAAGAGGTGAAGAAAAACTAGGTCACTTCATGAATTCAATGCAATTCAGGACACAATTTCCAGCAATAGCTTCCTCTTATTCCTTATAAAATATACACTGCTGCTATGTTTGTCCTCTGTTTATATATCCCAAAAGCAGAAAGAGAGGGCAAGGCAGAGCTGGGTTTAGAGCCCATCAGCAATCCCTCATAGCTGTGTGACCTTGGACAATGTACTTCTACAATTCCAGTTTCTTCATTTGTAAAAACAGGATAATATTCTCTACTTTGTAAGGCTGGGATGATTATAGATGATATTTTTAATCCAATTTTCATGATGCCTTCAACCTAGTAATCACTCAGTAACTAGTAGTTATGTATATGTATATGCATATGTATACATATATACATACACACATGCAATCATTCGTATATAATATACATTCTACCAGCCTTGGAGAATATTGCCCAGCTCCAACCAGATATAGAAGTCAGTAATTCTCATGTCATTAAACCAAATTTGGAAATGGACATTGCTGTGGGCCCATTTCTAGTGATATGATCGGGCTGTCAAGCTAGAATAACAATGTAATGTCATAAATTCTTTGTTATCCTTTCACTACCACTAACACAATCCCCGAATGAGTGCTTTCTGTCTAGTCAGGGTTTACCAACTCTAGCAGGTAAAATGGACCACAACTAGGGGAACGAGTCTGCCATTCCAGTTTGGATAACAGATATGCAATTATGTTATTTTTCTAGAACAAACCAGAACAGCACAAGGTCTAATACAATTTTTAATGCATCTGCTCCAATTTCACTGCATGAACTCACCATTTCAGAATATTTAATTTAGCCAAATAATATAATCAAAGCATGCAAAATACCTTCATATCTCAAATACAAGCCTGACTTTCGATCTCCTACATTCTAAGAAAACTTTTCACCTTTGCAGCTTCTCAGACTAAATTATTTAATTACCTTGCTCTTTAGTTTCTTTAATTGTCCCAAATTCTCTCAGAGCAGTCCATGCTCACTCCCCTCAGTTCCTGAATATTCCTTAGTGTTATAATTTGGTATCCCATACAACTTCTCTAAAATTTTCCTTGTGATGATAAGTAATGATACCTTACGGCCAAATCCAACAGACCTTAGCTGCTGCTCAAGCAGTCCCAGGATTTGAAATTGCTATCACCTTGAATTCCTGTCCCTCTGCAGCTACAGGACACCAGGAACTTTCTGCCTTCCCTTCTCCCTCTCAGTCCTTGTTTTCCCCTTCCAACCCCAAACTTAGAGAATCTTCAACACTCAGTCTTTGTCCTTCTTCTATGGTCCTTCGAAGGTAATTTTATATATTCCAACATTTTTAACTATAAATCTGTGCAGGTGACTCCCAAATGTAAATCTCCAGCCCTAATCACTGTTTGAGACTCTCCACCTGGGAATCTCAACATGTCAACCTTAGTGAGTTCAAAGATAATTCCTTATTCCCATCATGAACCTGTGCTTAACACTGTGTCACCAGATTCTTTCAATATCATCACCTTCTCCAAGGTCTCCCATGCTAGAAGTCTCTGTGATCTTTTAATCTCTTTCAAATTGGTTATTCTATAGAAATACTACCTCCATAATATTTCTAATGTATGTTTCCATCCTTGTTTTCCCACAGAAGATGCCCTAAATTATATGTAACATGGATTTGAGAGACAACAGATCACCCAATTCTTCCCACTTTCCACTCCAGCTCCTCTGACACAGTAATCTTGGATTAAACATCAGAAAACATATCTCTGGTCACTTTCATTTTCTTGCTCACTTTTGGTAGCACCCCATTTCTTATAGACTAAAAGCTAATTATTAAAATAACTGATTATTAAACAATTGTTTAGTGTTAGGTAAAACATCAAACACTATACTGTGCATCAATTATCTTACTAACTCTTAGATGTGACCTTTACAGTTATTTATATGATTTATTGATTAATACATACCTCATCAATCAGACCATAAACTCCATGAGGTCAAGGGCTTGAAATACAGGTACTGACTGAATAAATGAATGAAGTCCTTTTTTAGTCATCACCACTGAAAGTATTCTTTTCTTTTTTCCTCTCTGAAATTACATAGCAATCCCTTATGTCCTTTAGCTTATTGTATATTGTATTATAATTACTTATGCCCATGTCAAATTTAGGGAATGACTGCAAATGAATTTTAGCAATGTGACTTCAATTCCTGCTAAGGAACTATACTAGAATATTTCAGGATTAATAATATATCTCATCTTCCTGCCAGCAATATTTCTTATCCTCTATTATCTCTCTTATGCATTTTCTTAAAGTCCAGTCCCTTTTTAAAAAATCAAAATTGAATTAGTAAGTGGATGCTCTCTTCTTAGAACTTTCAAGGGAATTTGTTCAACCAAGTTTTTTTAATTCAGCATTTATTGAACAGAACAAAATAGGTTATAAAAATACCAAGGTGTGTTAGACAGGAATTTTGATTTCAATGGACTTACAGATTGGTAAAGAAAATAAAGCATGTGCTTATGTGGTTGTAATTCCAAGGAAAAGTATGTAGGTTGCATAAGAAATATACAGCTAAATTGTGATGGGAGCTTAAGGTAGGAATCTATTAATTTCAGCTGAGAGGATCCCAAAAGGCTTCATAGATCCTTTGTATTTGACATGGTTTACGAAAGATGAGTAGAATTTAGGTGTCCAGGGTTGAGAATAACTATGTATTCCAAGGGAAATAGCATTAACAAACATATGGAACTCTTAAAACTCATGGGATGTATACAAGAAATTTTAGGTGGTAGAATTTATTTGTAATGATTAATTATGACTAACATTCTTTTTGAAATATGTAAGTATAATGTTATAAAATAATTATTTATGCAGAGTTCACTGGGTTGTTGGGTTTCTATATTGGTAAAATTACATTTTTACTATGATAACACCACGTTCCAAATATTTGTCACTGACCATTGTTTTTGTTTTTAGCAAGTCTACCCTCTGTAACAGAATAAGGCCTAGAGATTTGGATATCTCAAATTGTATTGAGCCACAAGGGGACTGAGTTTGCAGAAATATTTAGCTCTTAGATATAAATTCATAAGTCTGGGCATTGTAGACAACTTAGGTAATTGGAATCCCTCTAAGTCAATTTTTAGTCCAAATCTTGTTTTTAAAATAGTCTGAGAAAACTTGACTTTGGGGCTAAACATCTCTGGTTGATATTTTGTTTTGTTTTCCCTATTGGGTGAGTTGTTATTTTAGTTGATTTTGGTTTAAGTTTCTTCCCCTTGGATGTGTGCTATAAATCAGTCTTATGGCAGTTTGCATTCCAATGATGCCTTATCTTGGCTGTACAACTGTTATCTCATCTAAATCCCACAGCTGTGTCATTTCCTAACGACCACCATCCCTGCAAGACAGCTGTTGCTCTTAATTGGCAGGAATGAAACAGATGAGCATTAAGAAACTAGCCCAGATGATGCTCTACACAAAGAATTTACATTTTTTTCCAAACTATTTGAAACTAAAAAAGAAATTTACATTTTTTTCTGAACTGTTTGAAACTAGAAAAGGCAGGGCAGGAGGCTCCATCATAAATATGTTGATGGAGTATTTCTTGGTCTCCCACCCAGAATTTTACTACTGAGACTGCATAAAATCGAGCTGCCTCTTAGCCAGTCAAAACTAGAGTCCCACCCACAAAAACACTGAAAAGCAATTTTGAAATATCTTACAAAGTTTCCTGATGAGCTGACAAAGAAGAATTCTGTCATAAATCAGTGAGGCTTCTTGAAATCTACTTTTTCCATTTTACCTTCCATAGCACACAGATCGCAGCAGCTACCTCAATATCTAGTAACTTGCTACTCAAAAGTGTGGTTCACAGGTCAGCAGCATTGGCATTATTTTGGAACTTTCTAAAAACATGCTCTCAAGCCCCACTTCAGACCTATGGATTCAGAATCTGTATGTTAGCAAGGTCTCTAGGTGCTTTATATGCAATTTATTTATATTTCATTTAAAAGCACTGCTTTTGTCTATTAATCTCCTGCTTTAGTACACTGTATGTAAGAATCACCTGAAGGCATTGTTATAATGAAGATTCCTGGACTGCACTCCAAAAGTTTCTAAGTCAGTAAGTCAAGTATTTAGATACCACCCTGCTTTGATAACCAGAACCTCCAGTGGACCACACTTTTTATCTTAGTCCATGAAAACTAAAATCTCATTAATTCACCCTGCTCTGCTTTTTCTCAATCCATTCCTTCTCCATTTTCTTTCTATACTTTTAAAAGTAACTTAATCTAGCATATCACAACTTGTATTTGTTGGTTGTCAGCTTATAATTATCTCCTGATTAATCTCCCTATAACTACTCTTAACCCTGGAACTCTTTTAGATAAGTCTCTGTTAAACTTAAAACTTATCAGCCTTTTACCTCGTTGCCTTTCTGAGAGCAAGATGGGTCACCAGCAGCTGTACTGGAGCCACCCGCGAAAATTCGGCCAGGGTTCTCGGTCTTGTCGAGTCTGTTCAAACCGGCACGGTTTGATCCGGAAATATGGTCTCAATATGTGCCGCCAGTGTTTCCGTCAGTACGCGAAGGATATAGGTTTCATTAAGTTGGACTAAATGATCTTCAAAGGATTATCCAAGACACCTACCATGAAAAACAATGATAGTTCTTTATAAAAAAAAAAAAATTTTTAAAAAACCAAAAAAAAAAAAAAAAAAAAACTTATCAAAAGTGCAGGAGCCAAAGAAAAAGTGGTAACTAATTTCTTAGAGAAGAGTAATAGAACAATTTAATTGTTCTGGTCTCCCTTCTGCTATGGCTATTGGATCTGGGTAAAGGTTAAAAGGTCAATTCAAAGTTAAGCAAGTAGGGGAGATAGAAGCAAAGAGAAATAAGAACATGTATGGAGAATGGTGGTGAACATAGCCATGAGACTATGACAAAAAGTATAAATGAATGCACAGAGGTAATGTGGTTTCAGAAGAAAGACCACTGGACTTGGAGTCAGGGGATGTAAACTCAAGTTCTTTGTCCAATCCTGATAATCACCATGGCTGTGAGTATATATTCACCTCTTCTGACTTCAAGTTCTTGTCTATAAAATGCATATATATATATATATATGTGTGTATATATATATATATATATACACACATATATATGTGTGTGTATATATATATATACGTATATATATATTTGCATTTTATAGACATGCACACACACTACCTGTCTCACAAGGCATTTGATGAAACAAAATTCTAAATAAAATATTAACTGCATAAACATTTGCTGAATGAATTAAGCTGATGCTATAGAGAAGGAATGAATAAAGCACAGTCCTACTTTCAGGGAGCTCACTGTCTAGTAATGGATACAAATACACAGACAACAAGCTATATGACTGAATTAATTAATGTTGCATTAAAAGTACATGTAAAATGCTAGGAGAACCCTAAAGAATGAACCAATTATTTAAAAGAAGGAAGGAAGGGATACTCATGACAAATTGGCAAGTTAGCTTTTAGGTATTATGTTTATATTCTCTGTACCATTCTCATATGAGGGTTAATTCAGCTGGAATGATGATGATAAACAATGTTTATAATTAGTCCTACAAAGATTGTTATGGTATTTATTTAGTTTTTTTTAAAAAGTGTCCTAATAAGTGGGAAGTGCTACAATTTGACAAGAGAAGAATAAGATAAAGTCAGAGTGCCTAGGAGGTATTATCCCATTCCATAGCACTCAGAGATGTGTACATTATTATTTAGTTTAGCATTCACTCTAGCTTTATTCCAAAGTAAGAAAATACTAAGCCGTTCATTAGACTATAAATTCTCATTATAAGCAAAGGGAATGTCTATATAGTTCACTGCTAAATGCTACCTGATAGATCAATGGAGCTTAATAGCATTTGTCAAGTGACTGAATGAAGGATTAAGTAAGGTCTGCATGGAGCTAATAATTGGTTAGTTACATATGCGTAGATGTTGCTGTCTACGTGAACAGCATATCTGAAGCCAATAAATGCCATTCTAAGTTTAAAATATGGAATGACTTTTACAAATTGTGAACATTTCCAAATACAATTTGTACCTAAAACAATGACTCTTCATGTAGCTATTATTTAAAAGTAAAGGCAGCCAGAACTTTAGGCTCCCTTGCTAAAGGTATTTAGTTAGCCATTGTGTATTTAATTGCCTTAATATAGATCTCCTTCAATTTTTTTTCCCCAGAAGTACTGGTAATATATCGAGTTAAGTAACATTTCAAAGATGGATTTCTGTGACTTTTCAGCTTAACACATTCTCTAAGTAATCGTTTTTTCTTTTAATATATTGCATTATGTAACTTCCAGAGCCATCTCTTGTCTACAGAACGAAGGTGTTGGACAAGATGATGATAGGGACCTTTCTCTCCAGCTTTAATATTCTATGAATCCTGCAGCCTCCTCTACTTTTAAATAAATTATATTATTAAAAGGCTTTGGAGAGCAAATAACTTGAGTAGACAGTGCAATAATTATGCAATTGTTTTCTCTTAATTTTAGGTAGCTATTTCATTTTAAAAAATAAGAAATTACTAAACAGCTTTTCTTTAAAAGAAAAGGATATAATGATTATTTTGGTGGGGGGAGATCATTGCATATAATGGCAAAAATAAAATATAGGTGAGAATACCTATAATCAGTATCACAGATGCTCCCCTTTATCTACTATTAAAGAGAACCTTCTCTTTGAATCTCAATTTAAAAAATACTTTACTTCATATGACGTCACACAACTTGACTGTTCTCAAAAGCCCAAGGATACATATGTAAGGAAATTGTCATAAAAGGCAGTTATTATTTCTTCTTTTCAGCAACAACCTAGAAATCTTGTTACAAGAGATTTTCAGAAAAAAGTCAAATAACCACAATAATACCCCCTGATACACACACACACATACATACATACACTCAAAATAGCTAATGAAAAATAATATTTCTAAAATCTTCTACATGAACTCAGTGGATAAATTATTTTCCATATGTATATGCAGAATATATATATATATGGAAGAAATACATATGGAAAAATAATTTAGGGCAAGAGAGTAGGCCCCAGTCCTCAGCAAAGTTCTTATATCTGAGGTAGCAAGTATAGAATGTGGTTGACTTTCTGCAAAGATGGCCACCAACAATTGCTCCCATTCCCGTCCAGTCCATTTCCCTCTCCCCATGAATCTGCATTAACCATGTGTGACTTGATTAATCTGAACAGAATGGGAGAAAAGTGGCAGTTCTGGCCTTAAGAGGCCTAGCAGTTTCCACTTTTACCCTCTTGGACCCTGAGTCACCTCATAAGAAGTCAATCGTCTTACTAACAAGAAAGACCACATGGAGAGAGAGCCCTAAGGATTTGAGGATAAGAGGACCACTTAAACCCCAGACTTTTTGTTAACATCAGCTGAGGCCACATTGGATCTTCCAGCCCCACTAGAACTACCCCAGCCAAATCACATAGAATGGAGGAGCTGCCCCACTAAGCCCTGCTCAAATAGCAGAATCACAAGCAAATAACTGAAATGCCCCATTCCTAAAACAACAAATACAAAAACTGAATCAGTAGATAACTAAATTAGCATGTAAAATTTAGTTCAACTAATATTGAACCAATATATCCCAATCCTTGGGCTATTGGCTGGGAACACAGGATGGAATAGAATGCCTGCTTTCAAAGGTCTCATCATACCATGGTAGTGACACTCACATAAACAAACCTCTGGCAGGGAGCGTGACAGGAGCTGCATCAGAGGCACACACGGTTCTGTGGGAGGGTGTGGACCCAACTTTCCTCCCTGGAAGTTGATCTGGGGCATGGTCCAGGGAAGAGGAGGTGACACTTCAGCCATATTTTAAAATCTGAGTAGGAGTTTTCCAAGCCAGGATGTGTGGCTGAGAAAGAGGAACATTCCAGAAAATCAGATTTCCTCTGTACAAAAAGTGTAAGACCCTTCTTAAAGCTTCAACTACAGCTATTGAGTCTCTGTGAGCATCACCTGCTAAGAGTTTTATCTTTTACCTAAGTTAGACAGATAGGAGAAAGAGTATTTTTTTGTAGTAAAAATGTTTGTTGTTTACCCATTTTGCCTCCAACTCTGTAACCTGTAAATGGCTGAGAGAAACGAATTCATGTGACAAGCAGAGAAACTGCTAAAAACAAGACGTATGTGTTTGCTCTTTCTCTCTCTCATCTTGCTATAGACAAATGCTAAACAAAGAAGCTTGTTTTGTTTATCTTTGTTCAAAAGCAGTTCTCAAGGTTCTTAATGAGAGATCTAGAATCATTTTGCTGCTTTTTATGGAAGGGAAAAAGGAGAATTTTTTTATTGGCATTTGTGATGTTAAAGGTCAAACACATAAAACAATTTCTAAACATTTATTTATAGCTTATGTTCAGTACAAGGTGAGCTAGCAGATGAAGAAAACTAGAATTGGGTAAACTAGTTGATCTCATAGGTGGCTGGAATGTTTATAGACATTTGTTTCCACTTATGTATTAAATCTTAGTGGATTTGCAACTACAAAGTTCAAGTTTTTAAAGACTTCTGCAATCCAGAAGCTACTAAACAATGTAGGTATCAGAGCCCAAACTTGGGAATGAGTATGTTTTTTCTCTTCTCTTCATGCCATACCATGCTTACTTCCTTTTTTCTTGGAATTGAGACATGAGGATCATGTGAGGTTAGAAAATGCCTCAACCTGCCATATGCTACTTGGATTAGAGCCGTGGCTCTTGAAGGGAGCACACAGTTTGAGGTATCACACTGAACACTTTATACGCATCACCTCATATCAGCCTCAAAAACTCTCTTGGTTAGGTGTGAATATCCCTATTGCACAGATAAAGAAACAAGGAGTAGGAAAGATGACTCTAAATGTTTCCCAGAGGTGCTGATAATCACATCTGCCTGATTCCATATTCCATGCTTTTACACTCATGCCACAGTTTCTCCCTAAGGTCTTGTGAGATTCATTTTACTTCTAGAATACAGGTTAAATCACTGCACTCAAAAAAAAGAGAAATATTTTTAACAAAGTTAGAAACACTAGCATAAAAGATTGTGCAACATTTGACCTGTGCTTTAAGATAACTAGAGTATGTGATGAAAATAATCAAAAGCATACAATATAGAAGAGGCAGGGAATAGGTAGAAATAGAATGACTTTGGAACCTTGTAGAACTGTGTTTGAATCCCAGTTTGGGCTCTTGCTATTTTGCGACCTTGAGCAAATTATTCAGGCTCTCTGAGCTACAGTTTCCTGAGTTATAAAACAAAAATATTAATACTTGCTACATCCCCCAGGTTATGAAGAGTGCTAACTCGTGTAATTTGTGTAAAAGCACCTAGCACAGCAGTGCCTCATTTTCAGTAGTCAGAAATGGCAGCTTCTTTCCTTTGCTACAGAAACTTGGAAAAGAAAGAATAAAATAGTTAAATATCACCTGCAAGCAGAGACCTCTGGTTTGAAAGATGGGAAAGCAATGAAAAGTCAGAAACTCTTTTCTGTAGCCATCAAAATATTTTCCAGCAATGGTTGAAGGAGGACATTTGATCTCAGTTTTACTAAGGCCATATTTGGAACACCATGTTGAAGGCAA